GTGCACCCCTCCTGTCTCCATGGGGGTCAGTCCTGTGACTTCCTCCTGCCCACATGTCCCTGAATCCTGTATTTCCCTGTATCCTTTCTTTTCCCCACTGGAGTCAGTGCCATGGCTCCCTTCTGTCTGTCTGTCTGTCTGTCACTCACCCCACCTGTCCTCACTGGGGTCAGCTCCATGTCTTCCTCCAGTCTGTCTGTCCCCACAGCCCTTTGGTCTGCGTTGGGGCCATCCCTCCATCCACCCATCCATCCCTCCATCATCCATCCCTCCATCCCTCATCCACCCCTCCATCCCTCCATCCCTCCCTCCCTCCATCCATCCATCCATCATCCATCCATCCATCCATCCATCCACATTTCTGCCACTGTCCCCCTGGGGTCCCCCTTCTCCATCACCACTGGGACTCCTTGGGAACCCTCAGGTCCCCCCGTGGCTGAGCTGCCCCCAAGCAGGACCTTCTAACCCAGGAGCTGTTACCCCACCCCAGGCAGGACCCTCATTCCACAGGGGCAGCCATGGCCTGGCCATCCCACAGCCCCGTGGTTGTTCTGGGTGGGAACGCTCCCTGTGGGATCCCTTTTTCCCCAAATCACCTCTTCACCTTTTCCCACCTGTCCCCAGCGGGAGCTGAAGGAGCAGCTCCAGGGGCTGCAGGAGAGCGAGCGTGGCCACACGGAAGCCCTGCAGCTCCTCAAGAAGCAGCTGGCTGAGACCAAGGTACGTGTGAGGGCACCACTGGCACCCCTGGGGACCCCCATTTCCCCCCAGCCCTTCACAGCCCCCCAAAGCAGGATTGGGGTCATTGCCACCCCGATGACACCCCAACCCTGACCCTCACCAGCCTGCTTTTGGAACTTCCGTGGCCTGGCCATCCCACAGCCCCACAGCCCCGTGGTTGTTCTGGGTGGGAACGCTCCCTGTGGGATCCCTTTTTCCCCAAATCACCTCTTCACCTTTTCCCACCTGTCCCCAGCGGGAGCTGAAGGAGCAGCTCCAGGGGCTGCAGGAGAGCGAGCGTGGCCACACGGAAGCCCTGCAGCTCCTCAAGAAGCAGCTGGCTGAGACCAAGGTACGTGTGAGGGCACCACTGGCACCCCTGGGGACCCCCATTTCCCCCCAGCCCTTCACAGCCCCCCAAAGCAGGATTGGGGTCATTGCCACCCCGATGACACCCCAACCCTGACCCTCGCCAGCCTGCTTTTGGAACTTCCAAACACTCCAAACTGTGCAGTTTCATGGATTTGCCCCATTTTTTCCTTCTGTGGTACCCCAATGGGGCTGCTCATCCCTCTGTAATTTCCTGCAGTGGTGCTTTGATTTATCTTTTTATTGAATTTAATTAATTATCTCCTCACTCAGGGTTTCAATGTCTAGTGAGGTTCAATTTTCTCCCTGTCCCCACGAGCAAGTGAAGTGGGGCTTTTTAGGTTTTAGTTTTTCTTTTTTTTTTTTTTAAGTTTTGGTTTCTTAGGAGTTTTTTAGGGGGTTTTAAGGCATAATTTGAGGGATTTTATAGTTTATTAGAGGGTTTTAGAGTTTTTTTTAGGGTTCTTAAAAGACGTCTTTAAAGGGATCTCTTAAAAAGATCTCTTTAAAGGGATCTTAAAAGATCTCTTTAATTCTTTAAGAATTCTTTAAGAACTCTATAAAATTTTTGTGAGGTTTTCTCAGAGTTCTTTTGGAGATTGTTTTAAGGTTCTATGAAAGGTTCTTTTAGGGTTCTTTTAGGTTTCTTGGGGAGATTCCTTAAGGTGCTTTTTTAGGATTTTTGGGAAGTTGTTTTAGGTTCTTTTGGGGTTACTTTAGGGTTCTTGGGGCGTTCTTAGGAAGGTTCTTTGGGAGGTTTTTTTAGGGTGCTTTTAGGTATTGGGGAGGTTCTCCTAGGGTTCCTTTAGGCTTTTTTGGAGAGGTTCTCCTAAGCTTCTTTGGAAAGCTCTTTGGCTGGTTCTTCTAGGCTCCTTTAGTCCATTTTTCACGGGTGCACGCTCAAATCCACCCCTGCAGCCCCCAGAATTCCCCGCTCTGACGCCCTCCTAGATCTTTATTTGGGGATTAAGGACCTCCTGGGCTGACCAGCAGAGCTCTGGGCGCTCCTAACCCCCCGTTGCACCCCAAGTCCTCAGCCAAGAGCCTGCGGGCCACCATCGGGGAGGCGTTTGAGCGGCTGCACCGGCTGCTGCGGGAGCGGCAGAAGGCCATGCTGGAGGAGCTGGAGGCCGACACGGCGCGCACGCTCAGCGACATCGAGCACAAGATCCAGCGCTACAGCCAGCAGCTGCGCAAGGTCCAGGAGGGCACCCAGATCCTGCAGGAGCGCCTGGCCGAGGCGGATAAACACGTCTTCCTGGCCGGCGTGGCGTCCCTCTCCGAGAGGTGGGTGGTGACACGGGGATGGCGGGGTGCCTGGTGTCACCCCTGCGTCCCCACCGTGTGTTCTTCTCTGCAGGCTGAAGGGGAAGATCCACGAGACCAACCTGACCTATGAGGACTTCCCCACCTCCAAGTACATGGGCCCGCTGCAGTACACCATCTGGAAATCCCTCTTCCAGGACATCCACCCTGGTGAGGGCGCAGGGGTGCGGGAGTGGAGTGGCAAGGGATGGATGGGGAGGTCACCGGGGACAGGAGCACACCAGTGAGGGATGGGGAAGGGGACATCACCTGGGAGGGAACGGGATGTGAATGACAAGGGATAGGGACATTGCCACCAAGGGTCTGGGACATCAGTGATGAGGAGCAGGGACACACCAGTGAGGGACAGGACCAAGGGGTGAGCATGAGGACAGGACACCCCGGTGAAGGATGAGGACAGGACACCCCGGTGAAGGATGGGGACAGGACACCCTGGTGACCTTCCCCCCATGCCCGTTGTCACCCTGGTGGGACAAAGCACCCGGGCTGGCTCCAGGGCTGCACTAACCCTCGTCCCTGCCGTGCCAGTGCCAGCGGCGCTGACGCTGGACCCCGGCACTGCCCACCACCGCCTCATCCTGTCGGACGACTGCACCATCGTGGCCTACGGCAACCTGCACCCGCAGCCGCTGCAGGACTCGCCGCGGCGCTTCGACGTGGAGGTGTCGGTGCTGGGCGCCGAGGCCTTCGGCGCCGGCGTGCACTACTGGGAGGTGGTGGTGTCCGAAAAAACCCAGTGGATGATCGGCCTGGCCCACGAGGCCGTGACCCGCAAGGGCAGCATCCAGATCCAGCCCAGCCGCGGGTTCTACTGCATCGTGATGCACGACGGCAACCAGTACAGCGCCTGCACCGAGCCCTGGACGCGGCTCAACGTCAAGGGCAAGCTGGAGAAGGTGGGCGTCTTCCTGGACTACGACAAGGGCCTCCTCATCTTCTACAACGCCGACGACATGTCCTGGCTCTACACCTTCCGGGAGAGGTTTCCCGGCAAGCTGTGCTCGTATTTTAGTCCCGGGCAGAGCCACGCCAACGGGAAGAACGTGCAGCCGCTGCGGATCAACACCGTCCGTATCTAGGGGGGTCTGCGGGGCCCCCGGCCCTGACGGGTGTTTGGCCCCTCAGGAACTGCTCCCGGGGCTGGGCAGGATCTGGCATCCCGCCTGCTCCTCTGGCTCCTGTGCTTCCAGGGAATCCCGCTGGGGGGCTGGGATACGGCAATAAAGGATTTGGAGAGAAGGGGCTGGGTGGTGGAGAGCCCCGGGGTGGGGGGAGTGGGCTGGGGGCACCGTGGGGTGCCATGGCAGGGGTGTGTCACTGTGCCAGGGGTGCCACACTGTGCTGGGGGCAGTGTGCCCTGGTCTGTGACACTCTGCCATGGCAGGGGTCTGTCACCATGACAGTGGTGCCACACTGTGCTGGGGGCAGTGTGCCCTGGTCTGTGACACTTTGCCATGGCAGGGGTCTTTCACCATGCCAGGGGTGCCACACTGCTGGGGGCACTGTACCTTGGTTTGTGACTCTGTGCCAGGGCAGGGGTCTGCACCGTGCTGGGGGCAGTGTGCCCTGGTCTGTGACACTGTGCCATGGCAGGGCTGTGTCACTGTGCCAAGGGTGCCACGCTGTGCTGGGGGCATTGCACCTTGGTTTGTGACACTGTGCCATGGCAGGGGTCTGTGCACTGTGCCAGGGGTGCCACACTGTGCTGGGGGCAGTGTGCCAGGGCAGGGGTCTGTCACTGTGCTGGGGGTGCCAGGCTGTTCTGGGGGCAGTGTACCCTGGTCTGTGCCATGCCAGGGGTGCCACACTGTGCTGGGGGCAGTGTGCCAGGGCAGGGGTCTGTCACTGTGCTGGGGGTGCCAGGCTGTTCTGGGGGCAGTGTGCCCTGGTCTGTGCCATGGCAGGGGTGCCACGCTGTGCTGGGGGCACTGTACCTTGGTTTGTGACTCTGTGCCAGGGCAGGGGTCTGTCACTCACTATGCTGGGGGTGCCACACTGTGCTGGGGCATTGTGCCCTGGTCTGTGCCATGGCAGGGGTCTGTCACCATGGCAGGGGTGCCACGCTGTGCTGGGGGCACTGTATCTTGGTTTGTGACTCTGTGCCAGGGCAGGGGTCTGTCACCGTGCCGGGGGTGCTGCCATGGGTGTCACACCGTGCCAGGGCTCACCGTGCCGTGGGACATGCCCTGTGGCACGTGTGCCACACGCACAGCCCCGTGCCCTGCTGTGCCATGCTGTGCCATGCTGTAGGTGCTGTGCCAGCCCGGGCAGGCTCTGTGTGCCAGTGTGGGGACACTGCCTGTGCTGGAGCCAGCAGGGGTGGGCAGGGTGGGCTGCACAGAGGGTCTGGGGTGTGGGGAGGGGGCTGCACACGGGGGTGTCTGTGCTGGGTGGGCTCTGTGGCGCGTGGGGTGTGTGCAGGGGCTCTGTGGGGCTGGCTGTAGGGGCGTTGGGGAGGGGGGGACATGTGAGGGTGGGCTGTATGGGGGTGCTGGCACACACCAGTATGGGACTGGGGGCACACACCAGTATGGGACTGGGGGTGTCTCTAGGGGTGGCAGTCCCCGTGAGGCTCAGTGGGTTTGGGGGCCACCTCCAGGACGGGCTTGGGGGTCCCCGTGAGGCTGCCACCGGGACACCCCTGTGAGCCCTGGGGTGTCCCGGGGGCCCGTGCGGGAGGCTGGGGGTCGCGGTGACCCCCCCGGCTCGGTCGCAGCCATGGATGCGGGCGCGGGGGCGCGGAAGGAGCGGCCGAAGCCGCGGGAGGCGGCGGCTCGCCTGGAGAAGGCCAAGCAGAGGTCGGCGCAGCAGGAGCTGAAGCAGCGGCAGCGGGCGGAGGTGGGAGCGGGGAAGGGGAAGGGACGCGGCCCCGGCCGAGCCCCCTGTGCCATCCGCGCTTTCCCCACCCCAGATCTACGCCCTGAACCGCGTGATGACGGAGCTGGAGCAGCAGCAGTTCGACTCCTTCTGCAAGCAGATGCAGGGATCCGGGGAATGACAGCCAGCCCGGCCTCTGCCCTCCCCCCCTTTTCTAAGCCCCCGGTATTTATTAGCAGATCGCCCTTTTTGTATCAATAAATCTGTGCTGGTTCTCGGTCTCCCGGCTCCTGCTGGCTGCGGGTGTGAGTGCGGGGGAGGCCAGAGCAGCTGCAGCGCCAGGTCCAGCTCGGGCCGCGGCCCCGCCCCGCCGCTCCCAGCCGCGGGAAGGGTCCGGCCCTCCCGGAGCCGGGCTGTGTCCCGGGGGAGCCGCAGGAGCCGCATCCCGCAGCTGCTCCTGCTGCCGGAGCCTCCCCGGGGATCCCGAGTGTTTCTGCAGCGCCAGGTTTGACCTTGGCTTCCTTCCTCCACCCACACCCTCTGTGCTGCAGCCGCCGCTGGCCGGAGCTTTCCAGAGCCTTTGGAGCAAGTCCTGCTCCCCCCCTGCCCTGCCCCGGCGGTGTCGCGCTGGGGGTGAAAATAAACCACGTTTGGGAGGGTGTTTCCCTGCAGCCACGGATTAGGTGGTAAATTCCAAACTGTTCCCAGAGAATCCCATGTCAGAAACCCTCTGGAAGTTTGATCAGCATCTTCCTCCTCCCAGCCAGGGAGGGCTTTCCTTGCCTTTGGAGTGTGAAGCTCCCTTTGCAATGAATTCCCCCTGGGCAGTGTGAGTGATCCCTAAACTCCAGTTTCCTGTGCAGAGAAGGGTTTGGGGTCTCTCGTCAGGAGGAACTCCACACTTCCTGTTCCCCAGGGCTTTGGGGGTCTCTGCTATTGGTGTGGGGGCTGGGGGTTCCCTCGGTCCCCCCACAGGACAGGGATTTTGGGCCTTCCCTGCAGTGGAGCCTGTCTCTTGTTTTACCTCAGCAGGCTCCTTCTGCCCTCGGATTCAGTGGGAAGATGAAGGGAGCAAGCAGCACCCGAAGCAAGGACGAGGAGGATGAGGATGAGGAAGGCTTTACTAGGCTCTAGGGAGGGCTCAGGCCTTGCAGCTCCAGAGGGCGAAGGGGAAGACGATGTAGGACGTGGCCCAGGCCAGGCAATAAACCGCAGCCACCGCCGTCGGTGCCAGCAGGACAGCCACCACCCCTAGGGAGCGGGAGAATCCTTGGGGATCTGCTCTCCCTCCCCCTGCACCACCACCCCCAGAGGGTCCTCCCCGTCCTTACCTCCAGCATAAACCAGTTTCTTCCAGAGCTGTGACTCCAGCACCCTGTCGTGGGGGTAGAAGCCGCAGTCGGCCATGAACAGGACCATGGCGGCGGCGGCGGCGCGCAGCAGGGCCACGTGTCCCCCGGTGAGCAGGAAGGTGCTGGCCAGCAGCGCCGCGGCGTAGGGGCAGGGCAGCCCTCGGTAGGTGAAGGGGATCCCTGCGGGGTGTCAGGGGCTCAATGCGGGGGCTGGAACCCCAAGCCCCCCACCCCCAGGGGCTCATCTCACCGCTGGAGAAGAAGCAGAGGCGGGCGAAGACGGCCAGCACGTAGGCGAGGCTCAGCAGCCCCCCCAGCACGCCCTGGGGCTGCAGCAGCAGCGCCGTGCCCAGCCCGAACGTGGTGAAATCGGCAAAGTCATCCAGCTTGGCACCTGCGGGGGCAGCGAGGGGCAGGTGCCAGGTGGGCCCCGGGCACAGGGGACGCCCCTGGGGTCACCCCGGGCCGGGGGGACGCACTCACCCAGTGCCGAGCAGGCGTCGAGCTGCCGGGCCACGGCCCCGTCGGCCAGGTCCAGCAGGAAGCCCAGGAGCAGCAGCCAGCAGGAGTACTGGTATTGCCTGGGGGCAAACCCCACTCTCAGCCCCTGGTCCCCTCTTTTTCACCCCGTTTCTCCCTTGTTTAGCCCCATCTGTTGAGGGTGGAGGTGAGCCCAGCCACCAGGTTGGCCACAGAGAGAGCAAAACTGGGATGGTCTCCACTTTTCATCCTCTTTGCCCTATTTCCCCTTTTTTTTCCAGCAAAAGCAGGGTGATCCCTACTTTACAACCTGCTTTTTCTTTTATTTTCTTTTTTTTTCCCCATTTCCCCTTTTCCGCCTTGCCCACTTATTATGGATGGAAGACAGCCTGACCTCAGAGGTTGGCAATGGAGAGAGCAGACCCAAGGTGACCCCCACTTCCCAACTCTTTTTCACCACATTTACACATTTTTCAGCCTATTTCCTCCTTTTTCATCACATTTCCCCCATTTTACAGAAAAACTGATGTGACCACCACTTCTCAACCCTCTTTTTCACCCCTTTTCAGCCCATTTCCTCAATTTTCATCCCTCATCTACTGATGCTGCAGAGGCCAAAGGTGAGGAGCCTTTGGCCATGGAGAGAGCCAAACCACAGCGTCCCCCACTTTTCTACCCAATTTTCACCCTATTTCCATCTTTCCTCCCCCACTTTCCCCCTTTTCCCAGCAAACCACACTTTTCTATCATCTTTGCCCTCCCATTTCCCCCTTTTTCCAGAAAAACCAGGGTGACCCCAAATTCTGTGCACCCTTTCCACCACATTTCCTCTCTTTTTATCCCATTTCCCCTGTTTTTTCCCCACCCGTTGAAGCTGCAGAGGCAGGAGGAGAGCCTGCCAGGGTGACCCCCGCTCCCCAGCCCTGTTTTTCAGCCCATTTTTCCCGGTTTCCCCCACCTGTTGACGCTGCAGAGGATGGAGGAGAGCCCATTCCGGTTTCCCCCACATGTTGACGCTGCAGAGGATGGAGGAGAGCCCATTTTTCACCCTATTTCCATCTTTCCTCCCCCCTTTCCCCCTTTTTCCAGCAAACCACACTTTTCTATCATCTTTGCCCTCCCATTTCCCCCTTTTTCCAGAAAAACCAGGGTGACCCCAAATTCTGTGCACCTTTTACACCACATTTCCTCTCTTTTTATCCCATTTTCCCTCTTTTTATTCTATCATCTTTGCCCTCCCATTTCCCCCTTTTTCCAGAAAAAAACAGTGTGACCCCAAATTCTGTGCACCTTTTACACCACATTTCCTCTCTTTTTATCCCATTTTCCCTCTTTTTATCCCATTTCCTCTCTTTTTATCCCATTTCCCCTGTTTTTTCCCCACCCATTGAAGCTGCAGATGCTGGAAGGGAGCCTGCCCACCCCCTTGGCCGCAGGCAGAGCCCAGCCAGGGTGACCCCGCTCCCCAGCCCCGTTTTTCAGCCCGTTTTCCCCGGTTTCCCCCACCTGTTGACGCTGCAGAGGATGGAGGAGAGCCCGGCCAGGAGGTTGGCCACGGAGAGCCCGTTGGCCGCGTTTTTCCTGAGGAATTCCAGCGCCCGGCCCCGTCCCGCTTGCTCGCTCAGCACCAGCTTCTTGGTGGACTGGAAAATACCTACAACCCCCAGCGTGTTCCAACCAGGGAGGGGCTGCAGCCCCCCCAAAACATAGCAGGTTGGTGCAGGGGTTCCCCCTCCTCAAACCAAAATCCCCCAAAATCTGTTTAGGAAGCAGCAGGGGATTGATTTGTGCAAGCTCTGCTGCTGAGCTCCCCACCGGCGGCCAAAAAATGGAATAAAAGAGGCCAAAAAAAAAAAGCAAAGAAACGAATAAAAGAACCGTAAAATATAATAAAACAAAGACAAATTAAGCCAAACCCAAGCTTAGACTAAAAGCCAACCCCGGTTTAAGCTCTATGGATCTTATATACCTATCGGGCTAAGCTTTAGGGAAAGAATTTAAGGGTCCTGTCCTTTGCCCCCCGCCTTTGCCGTGTCCCAAAGCCAGGCAGATCCTTCATCTGAAAGAAAACAGCACGTCAGAGCAAGACAAACCCCCCGAGCCCCCTCAGAGCCCCCCCGAGGCGCTCCATCGCCGGAATGCCACCAGAACAGCTCCCCAGGTGGGAGAAGCAGGAAGAGGCGCGGGAGAGCCGAGGTGCCGGGGGTCGGCGGCTCCGAGCCGGGAGCGACCTTTGGACACCGCGCCCGGAGCCGCCGGCACGGGCTGAGCCGGGAAAATCCCCCTGAGCCCCGCTCCTGCTCCTGCCGGAACCGACCGGGGCTTTTGGGGGGCCTGAGGCCGCGCTGGGTGCTGCTCCCCACCTTTATCCCTCAGTTTGGGGTGAGTTTGGGACTTTGGAAAGTTAAAACTGTCGGGATTTGCCGTCCCTTCCCAGCGCCAGGCAGGATCGGGGCCCCCGGAATGTTCCGGAGCTGTCGCAGCACCGGATCCCGGCACCTGCGAGCGTCACCCGGGCACAGCCGGGGCTCCCGAGCTCGCCCGTGCCTGGAGCTCCTCGCCCAAAAATCCGAGCGCCGGGATGGGAGGGAATTCCTCAGCCCTGCGCAGCTCCCGCTGCTCTTACACTACTTTGGGGGGAAAGCAAGGTGGTTTTGGTTCTTGCCAGGTGCGTTAGGAGGGGGTTGTGCCCCCAGGGCTGTCTCACCCCCCCAAGGCACAGGGAAAAGGGGTTCAGCCACAGCAAATACAAAGTTAACCTATTTTTGGAGGCAATGCATGTATTTTACATTTTTCTGCCCCAATAACCCTAATTTTTCTACTAACCCCCGCCAAATGATGATTTTTAGGGATGGGGGACACCTCGCGAAGGGGCCGAGTATCACCCAGGTGACACTTACCGACCGGCGGTGACACCATCCACATGGCAGCGGCGGCTGTGGCAGCAGTGACAGTGACGCCCCGGCGAGGGGAAACTGAGGCAGGGGCCGCTCCGTGGGGCTCCGCGCGGTGCCGCGTTATATAAGGAAAAGCCTCTCGGGCTGAGTCACCCGGCGGGGGTGGGTCCGGCCAGAGGCCACGGACACGGACACGGGGGGTTCGCAGCCGCCTGGCACCACCGGCGAGGGAGGAGCTGCCCCGGGGGGCCGGGGGGCCATGCCAGGCTCGCGGTGCCCCTGCCAGCCTCCCAGCGCCCCTGCCAGCCTCCCAGTGCCCACGCCAGGCTCACAGCACCGGTGCCAGGCTTGCAGCGCCTGTGCCAAGCCTGCAGCGCGGGTGCCAGGCTCGCAGCACCCGTGCCAGGCTCGCAGCACCCGTGCCCAGCCGCAGCGCTGGTGCCAGCTCGCAGCACCCACGGTGCCCACAGCAGCACCCATGCTCACTGATAGCACCTGTATCACACTCGCAGCACGGGTGTCCCGCTGATAACACCTGCACGGGCTCGCAGCTCCCTTGTCACTCTGCTGGCACCTGGGTCAGTGCCACTGCACCGACTCCAGGCTCACTCCCCACCTTCTCCAGGTGTGGACCCCCCGTGCCATGCTCACAGCACCTTTGCCAGCTTTGGAGCCCCTTCGGCAGGCTCGCACCGCCCACGCCCAGCTCATGGCACCCATCCCACACCCCCAGCACCCATCCCACACTCCAGCACCCATCCCGCACTCATGGAGCACATGCCAGGCTCTCAGAGCCCATCCCAGGATTGCACCATCCGTGCCAGGCTCTCAGCACCCATATCCTGCTCACAACACCCCTGCCAGGCTCACAGTACTCACACCGTGCTTTGTAGTGCCCATGCCAGGCTCACAGCACCCATCCCACCCTCACAGCACCCACCCCACACTCACAGCACCCATGCCACACTCACAGCACCCACCCCACACTCACAGCACCCACCCCACATTCACAGCACCCACCCCTCTCTCACAGGACCTCTGCCAGGTGTGTACCACCTGTATTTGTGCCATGCTTGTAGCACCATGGCACTCACAGCATCCACATCAGCCCCTGGCACTGCCACACCTGTCCCTGCACCCCACTGCCACCACAGGGTGATTGCTCCCAAAGGTGTCACCCCCCGGTGCCATCCCACGACAATTCACACCCATGGCATGGGGGGTACGGCTGGTGCCCCCCACCCTCACCCCTGCGCTGGGCCGGGTCCCCTTTTCCGCCACCCTGGGCCTGTGCCAGGCGGCCCCAACTTGTGCAAGGGTGTCACGAGCTGGGGGAGCTCGGCCTCCCCCTCCCCTGGAGCAAAGGGCCGGCGATAGCGAGGGGCTGCCGGGCCAGGCGACGCCGGGGCCACCACCGGGAGAGCAAAGGTCCCCGAGGACACGGTGACAAGGAGCCCATAAAACTTATACAGCCCTGGGGCTGGAATTTTCCACCCAGATCCCGGCGGGAATTGGGGGGTGCTGCAGGGCCCGAGGTTGCGGGGTCCCAGGGTGGGGGGAGGTCCCTGGGGTGCCGGCTGGGGGGTCCCAGGGTGCTGGTGACAGCGGGGGCGCCGGTGAAAGGGCTCTTTGTTCGCTGGTCACGCGCCGGTGCCGGCGGTTGCGAAGCGACGGCCAGGCCAGGAGGGCCACGGCCACGGGCGTCCAGCCCTGGGGCACCCCGAGGGGGCTGTCCCGCAGCCCCGGGGGGGCACAGCCCCCTGGTGTCACTGGATGCCCGTCACTGTGGCACCGGGGCCGTGCCGGTGTGCTCAGGGCACCCAGAGGTGTCTTGGGGTGCCTTTGGCAGCAGGTGCCCACGCCCATGGCACTGGGTGCTTCGGGGTGCTTGGTGCTGTGTCACCAGGGTGTCTGAGGGTACCCATCCCTGTGGCACCCAGGTGCTCATCCCTGTGGGGTCTGGGTGTCTGAGGGTGCCATCTCCATGGCATCTGGGCACCTCTCAGTGTCTATCCCCGTCGTGTCTGAGTGTCTCTGGGTGCCCATGCCCGTGACACTGGGCACATCGGGGTGCTCCCAGTACTGTCTGCTGGTGATGGTGCAGCCCCTGGTGCCCCCAGACCCCTCCCCAGCACAAGGACCACAAGGACACACTGGTGCCAGCAGTTGTGGTTTATTTGCCTGATGCCAGGCTGTGGGGGGTCGATGACAAGGACGCTGCCATGCTCAGTTGTTTTTAATGGTCTGAAAGGGAGAAGCTTCTAAGAGAGGAGGACAGTACCCCAACACCCTGACACCCCAACGCTCTAATAACCCAACACCCTGGCACCCATCACCTCAGCACTATGGCATCCCAACACCTCAGCAGCCTGGCACACGAGTGCCCAGCAGCTCAGCACCCCAGCACCATGGCAACCCAGAGCCCTGGTACCCCATTGCCCCGACACCCCAATTCCCTGGGACCCCAGAACGCAGCACCCTGGTACCCCATCACCCCAGAGCTCTGGCAAACCTTTGTCGTGGCAGCCCAGCAACCTGGCACCCCAGAGACCTGGTGCCATGGCACCCTGACTCCCCACCCCCTGGCCCCATTGTCCTGGCATCCCAGCAATCCAGAGCCCTTTTTCCTCAGCTCCACAATACCCAAGCACCCCAGTGCTGTGGCACATCTGTGCCCTGGCACTTTGGCATCCCACTGCCCTGGCACCCAGCAGCCTGGTACCCTGGCACTCCAGCATCCCAGCACCCGAGAGCACTTTTACCTTGGCACTGTGGCACTGACAGCTGGTACCCCAGCACCATGGCACCCTGACAGTCCCATTCTCTGCTACCCCAGCATCAGAGCACCCCAACACTCTGCACCCAACAATCTGCTACACCAGTACCCTGGCACCATGGCAGCCCAGCAGCCTGGCCCCTTTTCCCCCTGGTGCCCTGGTACCCCAGCACCCCAGAGCCCTGGTACCCCATTTCCCTGGCACCCAGCACCCTGATATGGCATCCCAATTCCCCAGCACCATGGTACCCAAGCTCCCTGGCATCCTGACACCATGATATCCCAATTCTCTGGCACCTTTGCACCCTGACCACCCAGGATCCCATTCCTTGCCCCCTGGCAGCCTGTGCCCACCTCTTCAATCCAGTCCTCAAAGGCGGACACGCGGGTGAACACCGTGGGTTTCTTGGCGGCATTGCAGCCCAGGGCTGACACGAAGCTGGCGATGCCGTGGACCTCCCAGGTGCCATCCTCAGCCTGGCAGTTCAGGGGTCCCCCAGAGTCGCCCTGAGGTGTGGGATGAGGCAGGGTGAGCACCACAGCGGGCCCGGGATGTGCCCCCTCTCCCCAGAGCAGTACCCACATTGCATCCGGACTTCTCGGCGCCGCCGGCACAGATCATGGTGCGGCGGATGGCCAGGGCCCCCCACCAGTCGGGCTGGGTGCAGTGCTCATAGTCCACCACGGGCAGCTCTGCCTGCTGCAGCCGGTCCGGCAGCGACCCCCCAGCTGTGGGATCAGAGCACCCAGGGTGTGCCCACGGGCATCCATCATCCATCCATCCATCCATCCATCATCCATCCATCCATCCATCCATCCATCCATCTCCATCCATCCATCATCCATCCATCCATCATCCATCCATCCATCATCCATCCATCCATCATCCATCCATCCATCATCCATCCATCCATCATCCATCCATCCATCCATCCATCCAACCCTCCCTCCACCTCCCCATTCATCTCCCCATCTGTTCTCTATCCCTCCACCTGACCGTCCCTTACCTCCCCATCCCACCATCCCTTCAACCATCTCCCCGACCATCCCTCCCTCCATCTCCCCATCCCATTCCATCCATCCCCCATCTATCCATCCTTCTGTTCATTCCCTATGTCCAACCAATCCCTCATCCCCTCTCTCCATCCCCCCAGCCATTCCCCATACATCCCCCATCCCTCCCTCCATCTTCCCATCCATTTCTCCATCCATCCCTCCATTCATCCATCCCTCCTTCCATCCTTCCATATATCCCTCCATCCCTCCCTCCATCTTCCCATCCATTTCCCCATCCATTTCCCCATCCATCCCCCTGTCCATCCCTCCGTCCATCCTCCATCCCTCCTTCCATCTTCCCATCCATTTCCCCATCCATCCGTCCATCCCTCCCTCCATCCCTCCCTCCATCCCTCCCTCCATCCCTCCCTCCA